TATCAAATAAACCAAGAGTTGGAAAGCAGCAGGACCTGACAATATACCAGCCGAAGCACTAAAGTCAGATATAGAAGTAACTGCAAACATGCTTCACAATCCACTCAGTAAGATTTGGGAGGAATTCATATGACGAACTACAGTGCAAAATCGTGCATGGAGGATAGCTGACAGACGCATTCCAAATGAGGACCGTAGCCAGACAAGGCTGCCTACTCTCCCCTTTTCTCTTTGTTCTGGTGGTTGACTGAATTATGAAGACCTCCACACTGACGGGAAGCACGGAATAACATAGATAGGTTGGATGCAACTAGACGATTTGGACCGCGCAGATGACCTGGCTCTTCTATCCCATACACATCAAAGGTTGGTCAAGACAAACACTGTAGCAGCGGCCTCTGCATCAGTAGGTTTTGACATGCACAAGGGAAGAGGCAAGATCCTCAAATATAACACAGAGAACACCAACCCAATCACGCCTGATGAAGAAACCTTGTATACAGACAACTCAGGAAGAATGAGGCCATGCAACTAACCCTCTCTATTATTCCATTCGAACAGTGGAGTTAGACAGGGTTGTCTAATCTCACCATTCTTTTTCAACTATGCCACCAAAACATTCTGGAAACAGCTATGATGAACCGTAGTAGCAATGGCAGTGTGTTACCTGGAGGAATTTTTGACCTTGAGTTGTTCCATTCAAGCAGTGGGGTTAGGCAGGGTTCCTCAACCTCACCACTCCTCTCCGACTTTGATGTCTATGACGTTCTGGAAACAGCTCTGGTGGATGTAGGTAATGGTGGTGTAGATCTGTTACCTGGAGAAAAACCTCTCGACCTTGAGTATAAGGATGATATTGTCTTACTGTGTGATGTTACCCAAACAATGTAATTTCCACTTAGTCAGTCGACAATCAGTGTTCGCAGATATGGAGTGTACTTTCTACTTTCTAAATGCGAAGTCATTTTACAAGACTAACAGAAGCCTGTTCCTGAACTTACTCTTGGTAGTTACCAGTTAGAAGTAGTTGAAAAATTCATGCAAGCGCGTAGCTGTGTAAGTGCTGGTGGTGGTGTGACTGAAAGGTAGAACGACTTATGCTAATCTGGGCCATCTTAGGCGCCTTTGTGATGTTAGTCTGGCTGCAAAAGGTGAAACCTACAACGCGTCAGTGAAAGCAGTTTTACTCTATGTATGTGAAACCTGACCCGTACGAGTTGAGGATGTTAGACGACCCTCTGTGTTTAATTATCGTTGTCTCTGAAGGATTGCCGACATCCAATGGCAACAGCATGTTATTAATACAGAGGTTCGGCATCTTTTGTTCGGGCACAGCTGCGATAATCCAATTTGTGTCACTATCTTGAAACATCGACTTCAACGGCATGGTCATGTCCTACGAATGTCTTCCCGAAGAATTCCACATCGTGCACCATTTATCGACCATCGGAACTGCGCCTGTAACCCTTCTAGAGTTACTGACGGTCCCAAGCCCCGATAAGGGGTGACGGTTAGGTATGGGGTTAGCAACCCCATTCGGTAAAAACGTTGCTAAGAAAACGCTGACCAGAAGGAATCATTTAATACATTTACACTGTGTCCTGGGAGTTGAATACACTTCATTTAGAAGAGTTACGACCCCTCATGGTGAAAGCCAATGACCCTTTAAACAATCAGAGCAACAATTAATATAGGTACATGGAATGTCCGGATGATGGGGAGATCGGGAGAAGTCAGATAGTTGCAAAGATGAGAAGACAGAATCTGGTGGTGTTCGGAATAAGTAAAACCCATTGTACACAAGTTGGACAGCAAATATTAGATTCAGGAGACGTTCTGTTGTACCTTGGAAATGAAGAAAATAATCATTCGCCCAAACAAGAAGCACGAAAAGCACATATATGGTAGGAATCTCATGGATCCAGAATCATCAAGGCATTCTTCAAAACAAAGAACGAAGGGATTACAATGACTGTTACCCAGAGTTAAGCACGCATCAATGAAAGCAACGAAGACGATAAAGATAAATTTTATGAGGCTACAGTCGATCGTAGTGTTCAGAAAAAGACCTGACAATCCTGGTGGGAGACCTAACCATCAAAGTCGAAATGGACAAAGTCGCGTATGAAGATATCATGGGACGACATGGACTAGGAGAAAGGAACGAGAATGGTGACAGATTTGCAAATTTATGTCCCTTCACCAAAACGGTTATAACTGGCACTAACTAACCCATAAATGCATACATAAAGCTACATGGGTCTCAACGGGCCACACTACAGAGAAGCAGGTCGACCATATTTGCATCAATAACAAATTCAGAAAATTAGTGGAAGACGTGAGAACCAGGAGAGGAGCTGAGATAGCTTTAGACCACCACGTAGATGCGGCCAAGATGAAACTGAAGCTATAAAACCACTGGAAAAGAATTTCAAAAGTTTCATATTCTTTCTTTGAAATAGTAACAAACTCAACGAATTTAAGACAGTTCTCAGGAACAGGCTCCAAGCCTTACAAAAATCAACATAAGGAAAAGAAAGCTACCATGAAAAACTGGAAAGTGGTTAAAGAAGCACTAACACTAAAAATTTCATGAGGTTCTGAGCCGCAAGAAGCACCATCACAAACAATAGGTCTGTATTGATACCAAAGGCAATCATTAAAAAGGAAGAACAAGGACAGATGAAACCAAGGCACACGCCGAATGCACAGAAGCAAACAAGAAAGTGACGAGGAGCATTGGAGCCGACGAGCGGAAATACGTACAAGATCTAGCAATGACAACAGAAAAAGTTGTAGGAAGAAATACGAGACGACTATGTGATACGACGAATAAACTAGTATGAAAATATTGTAAACTAGAGTGACCATTCAAGAATAAAGAAGACAAAGCAGTCACTGAGATTCAAGAAAAGCTACACAGGTGAGTGGAGCAATGTGAAGAGCTATTGAATAGACCAGTCTCAATGAACTCAACGGATGTCCAAGCAGTACACACAGAACACCTCTCCATAGACCATACTCAACGGTAATCGAAGAAATCTACAAGGCCGTCAGATAAATCAACAATGGATCAGACAACACACCAGCTAAACACTGCAGTTAGATACGATGGTAACTACAAAGATGTTTCACGTTTTCTCTATAAACATTTGGGAGGAGTCAGTCAGTCAGCTACAACATAGGACCAGGCACATATATGCATCGGTCCAAGCTGCTATGCCTCATTAGCACAACAAGATGAACACCAAATACATTGAAGTAGTTAATTCAATGGTGGTAATATATGAAAGAAAGATTGCATATAAGGTTATAGTACAAGAAGAAAGAATTAGTTGGTAGAAAGAAAACTATGGAGCAATTTTAATCTCATTGTTCAAGGGAAGACAGAGAGTATATACACGAAGGATTGCTGACGGACTAGAAAGAAGTATATCTCATCAAGATACCACAGATAAGAGATCTGAGCAAATGTGAGGACAACAAAGGAATCACAATACTATCAATATAATGAGAGGTTTTCAACAGTGTTGTTGAACCGGATGAGAGATTCAAAGACGTCCGATTTCGAGACCAGTAGGCTAGATTCCATAAGGATTAGTCGTGTATCGACCAAAACGCAACACTGTGGAGCATTGTTGAACAATCAATTAGTCTGAGCTCTTCATTATGCACCAACATCCCTAACTATGAGGAACGTTTGACAGCGTATATAGGAAAAAGTATGGAACTTTATTCGACACTATGGTGTACTCCAGAATATCATCATCACATGGAATTCATACGACCGACTGCATTGAATAGTTGTGCATGGTGATCAGCTCACAGATGCACTTCAAGTGAAGACCATTGTCAGACAAGGCTGCTTACCTTCACCTTTTTTCTTTTGGTGGTTGACCGAATCATGAAGACCTCCATATCTCAGGGGAAGCATTTGACACAATCGACAGCTTGGATACAACTAGATGATTTAGACTTTGCACATGACTTATCTCTTCTGACCCATACACAGTAACAAATGCAGTTAAAGACGGCCAATATAGCTGCAGCCCCTACATCAGTAGACCTCAATATTCAAAACGGGAAAAGTACAATCACGAAGTTCTGGAACAGGTGGAAATTTTTACGTATCTGGACAACATCACCGATAAACGAGGAGGATCTGACGCAGATGTAAAGGCATAGATTGGTGAAGCAGGTAAAATATTCCTACAATTGAATAGTTTAGTGAACTCAGAACAACTGCCAACCAATATCAAAGCCAGAATCTTCAATACGAACGTCAAGACAGTCCTACTGTACGGAGCCGAGACTGAAACCATAATCAAACAGCACAAGCACTTATTAACAGCTAGCTATGCAAGATACTCAACATCCGTCGATGAAAACCTGCTAACCCCCTCCTTTCTTTGTGAGGCAGCATTATTGCAGATGCTGGTTGTTTGAGAGGATCACCTTAATACTGTCACATCTATCAACACCAACAGTGCGACTTCGCTCTCAGACTTTGTTGATTTGTTTTGCTGTTCTGAAACCAGCTTGCTTGGCATGATAGGACCTAAAACAACGTGTCCCAATACAGCTTGGTTGCGCCATTTAGATAGGCAAGCCCGACCAATATGTCAAGGTAGCAACTGCGGTCTTCACATGCTGTCACAAGGACTAAAAATATTATATAACCATCATATTATTAAATGATACTCCTGACTGTCGCGAGATAACGTCCCGTCTATTTTGTTGCCTGTAACATCGAAGCTATCTGTTTGAGTAATACTACGAGAACTTACGTCCCACATAACATGTGACTCCGTGACTGAAATTAGACCAAAGATAATGACGATAAACTTACCAGTAAACATCAGAATTAATGGTCCATGACTTGTTTCCATCATTATCATTTACTTTCCAGACATTTCGCATTAAAATGAGGCAACCACATCAGTTGGGAAGTACTCCAAAAAATGTACATATATTTCAAATATAATAAAAAAACCACTCACCTTCCCCATCCGAATAGTCAAAAAGCACGGCACCCAAAGGGGTGTGTTTGCCCCACACTGATTCCGAAGGGCCAGAGGTTGTGAAGGCTGAGAATATTCTCGCGTGAAAATCGCTTGACCCACAAGCTAGAAGAACATTATTTGGATGCCAATCAATACACGTGACGGTAGATCTTATAGGCTTTTTAATCTTTTTGCCAATCCACCAATCACTTTCTTCGTCAAACCAACACACTGCCAAAAGTTTGGAACCACTACCCACAGCAAAACGGTCCTCTAATGGAGACCACTTTACGCACACTGCAGCTCTATCGATCTTGACAATAAATTTGACGGAAATACAGAACTTGTTAGATACAACGTACCATGAGCAAAACCAGTGTTGGCTTCCATTTATTATCTGACTGCTTATTCCACACGTAGGCATTACGATCAGCAGAACATGAAACAATCCTATTTGTCTGTGGTGCCCAGTCTATACTTGTAACCAAAGCACTATGTTCCCGTAGGACATCGATAACCTGGAACCTTCCACTGGGTGATTCCGGAACACTCAACAAGTAAACGTCACTAGTATTGACAGAAAGGGCGAGTTCTGTACCATCTCTATTGAAGGCATGACTAACAAGTGAGTCAGTCCCTAAAGTATGCGAAATAGCCATTGGTACAGTAAAACCCAGGGTCAGGCCAGCTCAGATTCCCCTCTCTTTCGTTTCAACGAACTTACCGCAAAACCCAATATCTAATATCTATATGACGAGGTCAACGACACTTTTTGCGCTACTTTTTATTCTGCGTTGCGCACTGTCGAAAGTTAAGATTAATTCTGAATAAATTTGAAAAGCTATATTTTAATTCAAAAATGAAGTGGATAGTGTTTTTCTTACTTTACGGTGTATGGCATCGTTCAAATGGTTGTTGACGGAATAGAGGAAGCTTTCGCTTAACGGCTTCCCTGTCTAGTAGCAGTGGATCACTAATACCTCCAGGCAGGAATCTAGGTATATTAACGATAAAAGAGGACAATGAAATTGGTAAATCATAGTAAGGTGCTGTTCTTAATCCTTAAGAATAGGTCAGGTTTCCTCTTAAAAGAATCCTGGGAAGTCGCTGGAACTAGCTCAGTTGGTGGCGAATTCCAGCATTTGACAACTCTTAAGGAGTAAAAGTTGCGTCTACAGTCCGTTCTACTGTGTTGTGTCTCCAGGCCTTGTGTGTTACTCCTTCGTTTTGTGCTGGAGCTAAACTTAAGTAGGTGTTTAAGAGGATGTCCAGAAGTGTTACGGATGTTGTAGGCCATTAAAAGGTCATCTCTAAAACTCCTGTACTCTAATGGGCAAAAATTTAGTGATTGGAGGCGCTCTTCATAAGGTTTGAATTTGAGTCCCCGAACTGATTTCGTGGCATACCGTTGGACACGCTCCAGTGTCCTTGTCCTTATAGAGTGAGGGAGGAAATACTATGTTTCCGTATTATAAATGGGGACGAATAAAACTGTTGAAGATTACGTGGAAAATTAGTCCATCAAACTGACAAAAAAGCGCTTCAATGTTACCAGCGCAAGGTTTGCTCGAAAGGCATTTTTGTCACAGTTAGCGTAAGACTTCAAATCGTAGGGTACCAGGACTCCTAAATATTTTTCGACTCGGGATACTTCGAAGCAGGAGTTTGTTAAGTTGCAACTGTAGTCCGCAACTTGTCTCAGATGGACTACCTTACAATTTGAAGTGCTAAAGCTAAGTCCGTTGTCATCTACCCAACTTTGAAGTCTATTCAAATCCTTTTGAAATGCCAGTATATCCTCTTGGTCGCGTATCTCTCTCCAAAGCTTCATATCATCAGCAAATCGTAATAAGTCTAACGACACCTGTCGTGGAAGATCGTTTATGTGGATCAAGAAAAGGGGAGGTCCCAGTGCCGAACCCTGGGGGACCCCACTATTAAATTCCATAGCCTGAGAGAAATCGAAGTTAGTCCTGACTCAGAATGTCGATTTTGTAGATATGAAGTGGGACAATCGGTTAAAGGTGACATAATGTCTAATCGTTTGAGCTTATTGATAAGACATATATGGTTGACCGTAACAAAAGCTTTTGAAAAGTCGAGGTGAATGACGTCAACCTTCGCCTAGAGATCAAGGATGCTTGACCATCTGTCCAACTCAGTCAGCAGGTTGGTTATACAAGAGTAACCCTTCCTAAGACCATGCTGTTGGGGTGAGAATAAATTTAAGGACAGTAAATAGTCATGTATACCATTGCATATCAGGACTCCGTGATTTTTGAAGGTATAGAGATAAGAGTAATTTGAAGGTTTTCTGTGTCGACCCCCTTTGATGTGATATGAGCCAGCTTCCAAATTTCCGGAAGTGTGCCTCGGCTTAGCGAGTGTGAGAACATCATGCTAGGCGCTGTTGCTAGGATTGAAGCGGCTTCTCTCAGTACATCAGAATAAACCATATCCGGGTCAGGAAAAGTGTCTTTTCTTAGGTGCTGCAGTTTCCGGAACACCAAGTCAGACACGGGTTCACTTCGGAAAGTCCTGTGCAGTTGAAGATAAAGCTTTCATCAGTATAGTTGATGTGGGTCGGTTGAAATGCCAGAGAGTACTGTTCAGCCGGAAGATTAGCGGCGCCACCGCCGTTAGGAACTAGCAGTTAAGAAACTCCAGTTTTGGCTTGTCGAAGGGAGGTTGCATAACGGAATAAGAATTTTGTATTGAAGACAAATTTATCGATAAGTTTCATCTGGTTTTGAAGCCTGTCTGCTCTTATCGTCTTTGCGAATATGTTCCCTATGTGTTTGTATTGTCTGTACGTGCCGTTGTTACCAGTCCGTTTATATTCTGCCCAACAGTGCCTTTTGCGGTTTAGCAGACGAAGAGTGCGGTTCTTGATGACTTTAGGTTGCTTGTAGGTCATGTGGACCATTTGAAGGATAGACTGATTGTAGCACATAAGATCGTGTGCAGGAAGAAATCCCAATTAGCCGACTTCACATCGTCGAATAATCCCAGATCCTCAATGAGGTTGAAGAACCGAGCTTCCGTAGAGTTTTCACCTCCAATATACCTATGTTAACTTTAGAAAGACTGGAGTGCCCTGAAATCAGAATATGAGTGAATCCGAGACGAGTAGAGCGGGCTAATCCTTCCAGCATATGATTGTTGTACTCTATGTCAGCAGTCGGCTTCCTGTAGATGACTACAACTAGACACCTCGAGGTGGTAGATAGTCTTACTGAGCACAATATGGATTGATCAAGATTGATAAACTCTTGGTTGTGCGCTTGGTGTACCTTCAGGCATGATCGTAAGTATAAGGCCACTCCACCCCCAATTCCTGTTTTTCTGTCATGACGAAACTTGACAAATTTACGGAACACTAGTTAAAATGCTTCCTCTTCAAGGTAATAATTTTGTTCCTTCAGTTAGCCCACTAATACATATGAATATTAACTGACTATCTAATTTATTCTAAAAATAATACCAAAATTGGCAGTGATACAGAACTGATTGTTCTTCATTAGTGTAAAAGAAAAAGAACGATGAAAATCCCTTCGCAGCTTTTTTGTTGGACAGTACTGTCTGTAAGAACCATTTTGAATGTTTTGTGTGTTTGTGAAAATCCCTCCATGTATATACTTGTACTTTGTTCCTATTGATCCTCTTAGTTGTACATTGTTGTCTTTGATCACATTTGAATTGTTAATACTTGTATTTTTTTATTATAGTTTTTGTTTTTCTTACGCATTCACTAAGTTTGTGTTTCTTCCCGAACTGCATCTGTGTTGTTTTACTGGACACTTGTTCTTGGCGGTAGCAATATTGATTTGCTCCTCCATTTGTGTGTTCCGTCCAGTCAGGATAGAGTAACGTTCATTCGTTGTGACTGGTAATTTTCCCTCATCTTTCATCAACTACTTTATTTATTGTAATTTAGATTTTATTGATTGAACAATTATTGGTTGAATAGCCGGGTGGTAATATTTGTTTAGGTAACGATTTGCATTTAAATTTATGATGAATTATATAACCGCTAATTACCCGATTACTTGTTTTAATTTCGACGGGAAAGAGCGCGTGTCTAACGTACCTGGAAGGCCATTCAGCAGTCCAAACCGTAGTTTGGATTTTACACTGTTATTTATTTGTTTCTTCTCCCCGTCGTGTATTTTAACCTTTGTTCAGATCTCGTTTAACCACACCTTTGGTTCTTCAGTCTTCTTCGTCTGAGCCTTCATTATATCATTTTGATTGGAAAATTATCTTTTGTTATCTAATTTTCTGTTGCATGTTGCCGGACCATTGACAGTAAGGTCGTGTTTGACTAAGCACAAGGTCACGGCGTGATTCAGTTTGTGGCTGTTAACCTTTTGACTGTCTGCTTGGGAGGATTGCTGGAATCCCTGCAGATAGGTATTTGATCCCATCTTGTTGGGAATATTTTAATTGATTCCCAGGTGTTGTACCCTTTAGTAGTAACTGTTTTTTTTATTGTTTAGCGCGTTACTTTGCATCAGAGAAACTTATGACTGTATAGCACAGGCTGTACTGTTTGAGGCATTTTTTATTTCTGATATAATTTGTTCTATTTCCTAAAATAGAACCGTTTAAATTGAGCACGAAGTTTGTGTTTTGATATAATTTAATACGAGTGTCTCAAAAACGTAGTCTGACCTATTCGAATACATTTTGGTTCGTCAGTCCTGCGTTCAAACCGAATACTGGTAGTTCGGTCGTTACAATTATTATAACGCCGCTTCGTCTAAAGCTTGAACAGCCATACATATTTTCATTTTTGTGTTAATAATGAAATCAAGAATTTCAGTACCATAATCAGAAAGGTGTTTTGTGAGTATATTAGTAATTTAATAGTCGAATTCATATGCTCACTGGTGACTTTCTCCAAGAGGTATTTCCTGGAGTTCTGGTGAGAAGCGGTGACTAGTGGAGTTCAACCAGGTCTGTTGTGGTGTAGTAACTCCACGAAGACAATGGTGGACGACGGCTTAATATTGTGGATTGGCTGAAGTTAGACATTAACACGGTTGGATGCCAGCTCAGTGGTCTAATGGTTAAGCGCTCGCGTGAGAGGCCGACAGGTCCTGGGGTAGAATCTCGCGAGCGGGGTAGTGGATGCGCATTGCTGAGAGGTCACATACTAGGACGAAACGGCTGTTTAGTGCTCCCAGCTTTTCCATGGTGAATTGTTAACTGAATATTGTAAATATATACCTAATGTGAGAGAATATTCTACAACATTAATTGTGACAACAGTTCAAAAGTGGGTTAGAAACAATCGATTACATAATGAATAAACATTGAAGGAATGTAGTGAGTAGAGTTCAGTTGAAAGATTATTAATTTGAAAGATAGTTGAAAAAATTAAAATAAAGTCAATGATGTAATAAATGCAAAACAAGGGAAAACAAAAGAAAAGAAAAAAAATTTTTTTAATTATTTTTAAATGTAGTGAAGGAATATATTTGTCACCAGGGCAAGGAAAGATTAACCACCGTCTCCTTTTGAATACATAGGTCAGGTTTTTGACGCCTGATGGCAATGGCTTCAGCAAACTTCAGAAGACTGGAGTTTGGCTGCTTACTAATCACCCTAAAGGATTGTAAGGTATCTACCTGATGTCCTGTATCGAGGAGATGTTTGGTGATTGCACTGTTCAGAGTCTTTCTTTCCCTTGTTCTGAACAGTGCAATCACCAAACATCTCCTCGATACAGGACATCAGGTAGATACCTTACAATCCTTTAGGGTGATTAGTAAGCAGCCAAACTCCAGTCTTCTGAAGTTTGCTGAAGCCATTGCCATCAGGCGTCAAAAACCTGACCTATGTATTCAAAAGGAGACGGTGGTTAATCTTTCCTTGCCCTGGTGACAAACATATTCCTTCACTACATTTAAAAATAATTAAAAAATTTTTTTTTCTTTTCTTTTGTTTTCCCTTGTTTTGCATTTATTACATCATTGACTTTATTTTAATTTTTTCAACTATCTTTCAAATTAATAATCTTTCAACTGAACTCTACTCACTACATTCCTTCAATGTTTATTCATTATGTAATCGATTGTCTCTAACCCACTTTTGAACTGTTGTCACAATTAATGTTGTAGAATATTCTCTCACATTAGGTATATATTTACAATATTCAGTTAACAATTTAAACCCATTATGTAATTATGATTTTCAAATATCATAGGTTGTAAGCAGCTGACGAGAACCTACGAAATAAAATGAATTCATGCTATTCTGCTAGAATCTTTGTTCTTGCTCTTTTCAAAATGATGAAGGGAACTATGTGTATGAAATTTTCCATGGTGGTCTGGTTTTAATTAACTCATAAATTCGACTATTAAATTTTGGAATTGTTACATGTATTTTCCAATCAGTTGCTGCCGCCTTTTTTACTTAAATTTCAGCCAATCAACACCCGGAAGATTGTTATAATTATTTTAGTAACCTCTGGTGCACAACAATCCCGCTCGATATGGTATGGAACCAACGTCGCGTTGATTCTGGTGGGAGAGTAGTGTAATGCTATTGGTACTAACCATACAATCCTCAAGGCCGAACATGAGATAACTAGGAAAATAGATATTCAACATTTCACACGTAGAAAAGGTCAAAAATCGTGAGCGCAGAAAAATTCACTTAAGAACCAATCGAATGGCACGGCTCAGCCATGCGAACGTGGTCATTCTTGTGTGACGTGCCTCTTCAATTCATATTAAGTACATTGTTTTATCTCCAGCCTAAATGTGTTCTTCAGAAACGCCAAACATATTGCTTATAGTTACGAAACGATGAGTCAGTGTAGACAGTGTGACTTACACGTAAGATCATATATGTTAGGCAGTCACATCATGACATATCTACAATTTTGAGATTAGGTCTATTATTATAATAATGCTTATAACGAAGTAGACCATGATTCTACAAGCACACTGATATGATGCGATTAAACAAAGTCTGCAAAGAGACAGTACTACTGAAAAAAGGGATACACAAGGACTACATGGTCTTCAGTCTCCAGAAATGCCAGCTGATTCTGTTGCGAGCTACAAAGCAGACCAACATCGGTGACCTTCTCTTCAGGCGCCGCTTCAACAGAACTTCCAAAACGCGCGATCCATATCTTTTAATAATCAAAACCTGAACACAAGCAATAACCACCTAAGACATCAGGCCAGTTAGTACGAAGCGTTTAGAGTTGTTCGAAGACAGACGGACATCCTGGTATCTGAGTTCTTTCTGACGCTGTCCAACACCTACATCTAGGATTACTAGAGACCCACGTCATTGTTTCACCTGCTCTACTTGAAGGGGATATAAACGTCTTGAAGCGACAGTAGTGGCTGCTCAACAAACTGGGTGATAACATTTTTGGACAAACCACTGAGCGTCGTACTTGCTGCTTTAGAGGTGAGTACGAGACGACCGGATAATGGAGTAAATTATACTGTAGCGGTAAATAAATTCCTAAAATCAATAAATCTGTTAGTCTTCGACATTTGATGCTGACCACATTAGTTTTAATGAGCTCACTTAGCTGAAGGTGATCGGTCATGCATCTGTAGCGTGGAGTCGAGTCGCGGTAGACTATGAACACCGCTACGGAGAAACACGTGTGAAGTAAATCAGAAGGCGAAGGTTGAACGTGACCAAATAAATCCATAAAATCCCCGAGAAGTCAAATATCAGAAGACAGTTAATGGACCAAATCGAGATATATTCGCTGGCGATCTCGTGGTATTGAAAGGATACCGAGATCGTGCTAAGATACAAGCTTGGTTACAGAACGTAACCGAATTCGCGCGAAGTCACAATCAAAGTGTAAGAATAAGAATGGAAGCAGAATAAAGTTGTCATTAGCACAGTCAAATAAAAGCACATTAAAACAGTCGCTGGTACAATTGGCTATAATAATAATTGTTTTCAATAAACCAATCGTGTTTTCGTGATAAAAAAAAGTCGCTACACATCCGCACCTGTTCACCAGAGCACGCCGTCGTCTGTTTCTCCTACAACCAACAGTCTGTTTGAATAAGTCACTCCTCGATATGTCTATGTTCTATAAAATATATCTTCTAGTCTTTTTGCTTATGACTTCTGATTTCACTTGGTTGGCACGTTTCGACTGTAAATAGTGTTACTGGTTAAGGCATTGTCAAATTCTGAATACTTGTGCCATCTTTAAAGCTATGCACTCCTGAATACGCCAATAAAAGCATCCGTACCACACTCCCTCTGAAGCAGCAGCACGTGATGCGTATCTCGTGCTTTACTTTTGATACCATTGCCATCTCTATCATTATTATTACTATCAATTATAGCTCACTTCCACTCACTTCAGCCATTTTTACTTTGATCTATCTGTTTATCATAAGGTCTTGTCTGTTTGTACTACCTGTGTGAATGACTGACCTACCCTTTCTGACCATTGCCTTTTATTAACTCCTCTACATTTTAATTTTCTGATCCTTTACATTGCTTGTCCTCGTAATCAGTCCGGACTGCCAAGAGACTGGAAAGACGCGATAATAAGTCCGGTGTATAAGGCTGGAAGTAGGGATTTCGTTAGTAACCATAGACCCATTAGCTTGACTAGCGCAGCTGTAAAAGTGATGGAAAAAATCCTTCGGATATCTGTTATAGACTATGTTGATGGACATAATCTTTTATCAAGGGAACAACATGGTTTTCAGAGAGGCCTATCATTTCTGACAAATATCTTTGCAAGAGGAGATTGGGCAGCAGCAGAAGATCTGAATATTCCTGTAGATATGATCTTCGTAGATCGAATTAAAGAAGATGGTGACATGGATGGACAGGTGGCCACTTGAATTAAATCTTAACAAGCGTATGGGGATGCAACTAAATAACTATGATGATTCGTATCACTACACAATATGTGGATTCGTGCTAAGAAAGATCTAGGAGTCACACTAGGCAATGATCTCAGAACCAAAAGTCACTGAAAGGCTGTTGCTGAGAAAGGTTATAAGATGTCGTGGTCCATTCTTTTTTCTTTGTAGTATTTAGATGACGAAATGTTTAGATTATTATACCCGATTTTCGTGCGACCACATATGGAATATGGGATTCAAGCAGCGAGTCGTTGTTTCAAGTTTGAGGCAGATATGCTGGAAGGAGTCCAATAACGGGGAACTAAGATGGTTAAAGGTCTGTCTGGACTATCTTATGAAGACCGACTGAGACACCTTAACTTTTGTTATCTTACCGTAAAATACGGGGTGATCTAATATTGGCTTGTCGTATACTGAACAATGACCTTGGTACTAACATGTCTTATCTTTTACTTCCGTCTTGGACTGATCAACTGAAAGGACATTCGAAGAAAGTTCGAAAAACGAGATCAAATCCTTTACGTCTAGACTTTCGTTTCTCGCGTCGAGTATTGAGTTACTGGAATTCTCTACCGGAACACGTAATATCAGTACCTTCTATTGATATATTTGAAATGATATTGGAACTCCACAGCGCAAAAAACCTCAATGATTAACATAGGTCGATAGATCTTCTATCCTTATTACTGAAGACTGAAGACTGAAATGCACTCATTCGTACTCAAAAAAATACACCATCAAATTTACAAGGATTCATGAAGCTAAGTGATTAAGTTCTTATACTGGATGGTAAGGAAGACCCATAACTGTACCGTTACATCAAGGAACGGAGGCAATGAAATTTATTGATTTAAACTAGCTCACTAGACAGATATTGTTCATTGAATTAGAGGCAAATTTGATGTATGCGCTTCTGTGCCGGCCGTATGATATTCCAAGTACTTGTGTAGGTACAATAATTTTGATGCGAACATCTGCAAGCATTGTTGACGCTTGTCTATCCTATGAACAATTGGCACACTGTTTTAAGGATAGTCACATATGTTGCTAGTCTGCTTGGATGACTTACATATTCTTTACAAGCTTGTATTGAATTTTTATCCCTCGTACCTAACAATATTCATTTGATACAGTTTAAAGTTTCGGTATATTTGGTAAATTAGATTTTATTTGATATACATAAGGATACAACATTTTCGACAATGGATAAAGAAAAGACGAACACCTTGAAAACCTCCCCTCAAATGGATTCCTTAGAAAAATTAGCAGTTTCTCTTCCGTCGGCGGCTTTCGGCTTAGTTCCATGTAGTGAAAATAGGGACTTCGATACACGTCTCTTAAATAAGTTTCAATCGGGAAGGAAGGGGTTTGGTTTGGTAAAGTCGTCACGTACTCTCTCGGAACCCACTATACCAACATCTAAATCATTGAAAAGTATGACAACATCCAATTTCGTTTCTCCTACGTTTGCAAGGTATATGCCCTACTTTTTGTCATCTCTCAGCGGTGATTCAAGCTCGTCGACAACAATGTCTTCTATCTCTGTGTCAAATTTAAGTGATGAATCCAGTAGTGTGAGGCTTCCATTGTCTCCAAGTCAACTGTCCTTACCAGAACCTCCAGATGGAGGTTGGGGTTGGGTTGTTGTAATCGCCACGTTTTTTGTACACATGATAACCGACGGGGTAATAGTATCGTTTGGCGTTTTTATTGAATCTCTCGTTGAGGAATTCCAAGATTCAATGAGTGCTACTTCGTGGATCGGGTCATTTTCGTATGGTATTCCTGCACTCGCCGCCCCTTTGTCTTCGTTTCTGCTTAATCGCTTTGGATGTCGAGTGACGTGCATGGTTGGTGGGCTGATAAGCGGTCTAGGATGTTTTGCTGGTGCCTTCACTAATTCTATAATATCACTGGTCTTTTCGTTTGGCATTTTATCTGGTCTGGGTGCAAGTTTGTGCATCACATCAGCTCTTGTTGTTGTTTCTATGTATTTTGATAACAGACGAGCTACTGCCACTGGATTGTCCATAGCAGGCACAGGTGTTGGTGCGCTTGTATTTGCTCCAATGGTAGACATGCTACTGAATATTTATACGTGGCGAGGGGCTATGATGATACTGTCTGGATTTTTCCTAAATATGATAGTATGTGGTGCTCTGATGCGTCCTGTTGAAACTGACGTCGAAAACGTCATAGACAACGTCTTGCTTGGTTGGAACACCTAGCTCGCGAGTCGGGCTTACCACCTTTTGAAAGTGCAGACTACTTGGATAAGGATGTGCTTGGTCGTATAAAGTTGCTACGTGACCATATGTTAGCTCCTCGCAGAGTTACATTGAGCTATTTACACTCAACAAATGAAATCAATAACAAGTTGATTTCATCTACTAGTTGTTTCAAAGTTCTGGAAAACAAGACGAATTTATCTAAAGATATTCTCCAAATCCCCCCGATCCACTCCAAATCACAACCACTAAATAAGAAAGCGCTACAAACCCAGGATCAGGATGTATGGAAAGACGGTGCATCCACATTTAAATCTCGAAATGTGTCAGGGAACAAGAAAGTGTGTAGCTTCATGCTCCAATGTCCGGAAGTTAGGTCCGATGTGGTTTCGTTCTCACCTTTATTTCCTATTGAAGATTTTGATTGTGGTGTACAAGATAAAAGCCATGAGGCAAATAATAAATGTGAAATTTACAATACTAACGGAAGTCTTAAATCGTTCAAGAACTTTATTCATTATAACCATGAAGACACTGTTTGTCCTAAGAAGGATGAAGCATGCGTTTTAAATCATTTTTGTCAAGACAATCAGACGTATATGCGCGGTGATTGCTGTGAAACCAGTTCCCTCAATTTTACACGTAATATCTCACAGAGTTATAATCAGAAAAACATTCTTCGAGGTTCTTCGTCTAGTTTGCTTGAGTATTATCGCCCTACACATCAGAGTTCAGTGAGTCTGCCGGATCTTCATCATCTCAGAAGGGTGTACAAAACCGACACTTCTAGTGAATCTGGTGTGTCATCTCAATGTTCGCTGAGGTACAACTGTAGTTGTTTGGCGAATAAAAAGTCAGGATTAAAGTCGGTGGATGGAGATGAAAAATGTCAGGATAGGGGAATATATTGCTGTAACTTCTGTACAGAAATGTGTGCCGACAAACATGATATTCTTCACCGTCTTTTTGATCTGCGACTGTTTAGAAGACCTACCTTCGTTTTGTTCATGGTTTCGAATTTCTTACTCTACTTCTGGTACAATGTTACATATTTTTTTATGGGTGTGCGTGCTATCAATTATGGTCTTAGTGAAACACTCGCAGCCCTTTTGTTTTCTGTTCTTGGTGGTGCTAACATGGTTGGTGAGGTTTTAGCTGGATTTTTGGCTGATCGTGATGGCGTCGATTCTCTGACTCTATATTTCTTCATGATTCTTGCGTGTGGTGTGTCAACGTGTTTGATGCCGTTACTTACTACATTTATGTCCATGGCAGTTTATTCTAGTAAGTATTTTCTCGTTTTCCATTGTTTCCACCTAATATTAAACTGTAGTGTAACACTCACTTACTACCAGATGTAATTGTTTTAAAGAGACAAAACAGGTCCAACTATTTAACCAAATATATGTTCGTTGACTCATCTACTAACTGCATCAATTATTTATTGAAGACGTTTTGAATAACACCAATGCCACATCTTAACTGTTGGAGTGCGTTTAATTACTGTAGATGTTAATCTTTGTTAGCAAACGAAGGTGCAACTAAAGAAAACTTTACTGGCCTAAATAAGTGTATTTGTCTATCTTTAAATACTGTAGAAAATGTTTTGTAACTGCACGATATTGGCATACATTTTTAATTCACTCCAGTAACGTTTTCTAGTTGACTTCCATTCGGGTCCATTAATTTGTGTGTGGCAGTAATTCCTTAGAGTTGCCGATTATAATTGTATTGTCAAATGTCTTAATGTTTATGTCATCATATTACCTTATGCAAGATATTCAAAATGTAAGAGACCATTATTTTTAGACTGTATTATATATCTGTTTGATATACCAGCAGTGTTTAAAGCGTACGCTCATAGTATAAGGGGCGACTATATTAATTAAGTAGCAGCTCTAACTTATGACTTTGAGGAAATTAATACGTTCACTATTTGTAAACGTCTCTAAGTGAAATTAAATATCTTCAAGGATCAACCCTGAATATAATGCAGTAGTTGGAAAATTATATGAAATTGTTTTCATTCTGTATGTTGGCTAGCTTTTTAGTTACTTGAATTGGATTTGTTTTATGGATCAGGTTGTACATAACTAACTGATCGTACAAGAGCTCCTACAGATTTCATTTAGGTGTTCATAGACCTAATATTGAATTTCGAGTATTTCATCTTGATGAATACTTGAACTAGGCTCTTACACTACTAATGACCATCGCTTGTCAGTATGGCTTTCCATTCTAACGGTAATATTCAAAATATAGGTTTATTAACAGTAGTTTTCAAACTAGATGGTTTATAAACAAGTTAAAGGGGTATCATTAGGCAAATGTTTTGCCTAAAATAAAACAGAACCTGAAAGTTCTTGTCAATTTTCATTTTAGAATACGTTTGGGTTGTTTGCATTTTCTGCCTAGTGTTGAATACCATAGGCTACTGTCAATCAATACAAATATGGATTGGATGTATATGTTCGGTCGTAATCGTTTTTGAAATATTGTTCGTGTTTGGTAGAAGTTTAAAATAAGAGGTGTGCATATTGAACTTAGAGAGTTAAGTAAGTTTGATAAATCAGTTAAAGTTATGAATATTCGTCAACTGAATTGGTCTGCAGTATGCTGTGCATTTCGCTGCTACTCTTATTACTACCCATTGTGTTGGCTATGATGTAATTGGTTGTTTGTCTGAGTCATCCTTGGAGATGCATACATTGTGAGTGGTATTCACAAGGTAATTTTAATTTATGATTGAAGGCTTTAAGTGATATGGGTCAGGTTCATCTCTCTTCAAGTCCTAAAATTAGTTTGGTTTCTTTACGTTGAATCCATCTTTTGATTAATTTCCTTCCCTCTAGTTTCCCACTGTCATTAGTATTATTACAATCAATAGCGTGTCTTTCCTCGGGTACTCCGATGTGTTTCTGCATTTTGAATCGACAAGCACTTGTATTTGACTCTACACTGTTTACGCCTGTCTGCACTTTCTATACAGTTAACAGTATGCTTCGTTTTCATTCAAATTTAGGCGTGTTTGGTATGGGATTGGCCGCTAATGATGCTCTGTGCACTGTTCTGTTGGTAGAATTTGTTGGACTCCATCGCCTTACCAATGGTCTTGGAATTTGTTTTTTTTGTCAGGGTGTCGCCAATATTTTGGGACCGCCTGTTATTGGTAAGTATGGAGCTGTTTGAAATGAACTTCAGTTGTTGTAACGCTTTGCGCGATATAGTTTGTTTCCTATGGGATGATACCTTAAGGAAGCTGTCAAGTAGTCTTAATCGGCGAGACTATAATTTATGGACGAACCAATCAGATTTACGATAACAGGTCTTAGATTTTGGTGCGAAATTCATCTACCCATTTGGCTGAATAGAGTCTTGACATTATGGCCGATGTCAGTTCGTGATGAAAACCCTAAATCTAATTCCTAACCCTAACCATCAAGAGTAAATTATAATCCTTATTCTTCAAACTGTTTTATAACCCTTATTTAGTCCTAGTAAGTAGGTAGACATACTCAAGGTCATTATAGCGTCACTCAAAGGTCGTCCATAAACTATAGTCTCACCTCTTAATCTAATATATTGATGTGTTTGTCCTATTTTCCCACACATATTTGCATATATGTTTAGTAGAAAAAATGTGTCACCATTGCCGAATACTAATATATTTTTGTTAAAATATTTTCGGGGATTTTTTTAGGAGTAATTGACGTCTTTGATCTATACTACTCATCATTTTATTTTATTGTGAAACCTACCGCGTAACTCCAAAACCAAAAACAATATGTGTTTAGTTTTCCCCTACACTGTCTTTCTTTATAGTGATAAATCATGCTAGTCCCGATCATCTTACACAGTCGGAAAAGTCACTACATTTTCAGGATTCTTATAGGTTGAAGAATCTAAACATCACTAACGCTTCACTGGCGTGCTGGCTTAGTGGCTAAGGTGTTCAACTTTCGGTCACCTTCACTTTGAGCGACCGGATAGTGAGTCAATAAAATATTTCATCGTTAAAAATTAGTAGTGCATTCTGCCCTATTCTTTGCTACTGAATCTCATAACCATTCTTGTGTGCGAAAACTGCCACAGCAAATATCTGACTGGTCCATCGTAGCTTACTTGGACTGTGACAAGGATGGAAAGATGTATAACGACTTGGGTGTCAAAAATCCTAAGTTGGTTCACTTTTAATGAAGTATTATCATTCAGTTCATGGAATCACTGTCTTAGTACTGTTTTTCTGTGAGAATGTACTTTTTCATCTTATCTACATCTCATTGACAAAAGATGATTTTTACTGTTGTTATTCGCCATTTTCATTATTCCTTTTAGCAGATTGTCCATGTTTTCATAATCAAGAGTTTGATATTATCCCATTCATTCTAAATCAGTAATAAATTAATCGTCAAACTTCGTATATTATCAATCCTTATTAACCAAATGTGCGGACGAACTTTAAGTATAATTCTGACCATTAATGAAGTTTAAGGTTCTAACCAACTTTTAGATGTCTATCATGTGAGTATTGTATGATTGATACGAAGCTGAGTGATAAACATATCGCCTTTGAACAGTCTAAATAACCAAATAAGTTTTTATGAACCCAAATATTTCAGTAAATATGTTGAAAGATATTCATGAAAATAGTATGTTATGATGTTCGTTTCAAGGCAACAGTTAACCACTTAGTAAGTACTTCCCAACACATTTAGTGTTAGTTCCTTAAGTACTGTAGCTTTCCTCATGGAATATATGTGTTTCCCGCTGCACCATTTTCAGCAAATCAACTGTTAAGATAAACTCAGGATAATCTGATTGGTACGCTTAGAAAATGTCTGATATTTATTATTGTAAGCTGAAATCGATTAATTTCATAGTGAGATTTGCTTAAAACCGTTTATTTTTACTATATAGCTGTTCATTGTTAAGGTTACTTAAATAAATGTATGCACGCATATAGTTAACCATAAATAGTAGCAAAAACCCAAATTAATACAAGTTGTGGAGTAATAGTTAAAACATGTGCTTTTCAAACCTTCAGTTGCGGGTTCAAACTCAACTCAACGTTCTTCGGTATGTTCCAGTGTGTAATACCACTAGCTTTCACGTGAAAAGTATGTCTTATTGCCGTGTACATGTGACCTAGAATTACTTGAACTTCTAAGTTGAAATTAATTTGAATTACAAATTACATAAGATTTATATAATAAACGTTTTAATAACCATCAGCTCCTATGGAATATAAAAAAATAATCATTATAATGGTATAAAGGTCGACTGATATTATCAAAAACTCTTGTCTAAACAACTGCAGATTGTAATTCATTTCCATTTAAAATGTTTTTTACATCGTCATTTAGAAGTAAACATAGTCTCTCTCTCTCTCATATATATATATATATATATATATATATATATATATATATATATATATATATATATATATATATATATATATAAGGTGAACGTTAGAGAGAATAATATTTCTACCTACTGATCAATGATTAGTATTTTTTTCCTTTGTAAATCACCAGTTTCATTGATTTTATAGCAAACGGATGTAGTAAAAGTCACTGTTGATATTTCCTGATTGCTCACAGTTACTTTATCTAATGAACGTCTATTAGTTGGATATTTTAAATTTTTATTTTTATATTGTACTACTGGAATATTTTTTATTCATTGTAACTTTGTTCCATACAAGATAATACTAATTTTTAAAATATCAATAGAGAGATCCTACTTTACTTCCGTAGGTATTTGTAACAAGCGTTTTTTGTCGAATCACCAGATAGTAGGTTTTCCATATGACATCAGTGGTTGGAATGTATCTCAACTCATCTAAATCTCTAATACCGAAAAATTAAGTGTCAGTGCAATAGTTGGCAAAATATCGATCAAGTAATCTTTAGGACGTTTGTGACAGAGCTTCCTTACAGTAATAACTTATTTTTTCTGTAACTTCAACCATTATTTCTTGTTTCATGGTTCATTGGTTATATCAACCTACGTGATATAGTAGAGATCTTTAGGAAAACTTTCATTACGAAGTCACCTGATCAGACCAACCCTCTTTCAGCTCTGTTCAGTATGCAGATGCTCTTCTAGCTAGACGAATAATTAGATCTTCCACGGTTGTATAGCAAATAGTTTTTCGACAGTCCAAAAAGAAGTCTCTGTCATATCCATCTCCGAAAGATATTTAAGAATGTAAATGTGAAATATATCAAAGTGTATACCTGTCACTCCTCGAATTTCACTCGTTAACTAGCGTAATAGATATAAAACCGTACGAAATGCCGGTAAAATAAATTTTGCCCCAACAACCTACTTTGGCTTGCTTACCTAGATTGCATTACTACACCACAAAGCAGAGCTAATTGCGATGAGTAATATGAATGACCTGCTTAATAAACGTTTGCTCACAAAAGTTAGCTATGATACTGTAAATACCTAATATATATCCCTGTTCTCCTATGTGTTCGTTTCTTTTGTGCTTTTTCTTGTGTAATTTCCATATGTAACTCTGCAATTTATTTTGTCTTTACCTACCAAACACGAGTCAATAAATGGTTACTTTCCGAATCCTGCCTTTCACTTCTATGTTTTACTCAGGTATTTTCGAAGCTGTACGTGCTGTTCAAGTCAACCGCTTTCGACATACTCACCTTATGTAGCTCGGATGATAGACGTGTCCGACTAGGACTCTGGAAAATCTCATTATTGTTTTATTCTGTATCTTATAAGTTTGTGATCAAGTTTCCGGTGTAGCGCTCTCAAGTTCTTCGTACCACAACATTTGGACTTGAGTTGTCGTTGTTGACCTGAGCGCTAGAGGAAGATTCATTCCAAACATCTGGGTTTCCGCTAGCTTTTGTGTACTGTATTACAGGTTACTCTTTCGATAAAACCAACTATTCACATACTTATATAAATGAAGTTGGTTAGAACTTAATATGACTATATAATCATCATGGTAAAACAAAAATGCAAATAAAATAAAAGGTTGAATCATGAGTTGCAAATAAATGTCTTGTTCAAAAGAAGACTACAACATCAAACATGATATTAAAAAAATACTAAGTGATTGCACAGTAAGATAACTGAATACAAGTTAATAGCAGTAACGAATGACATGAATTAAGCTCATTTAGTAAAAATATAGTTATAAACAAGTAAAGGGTTGAGAGATCATGTAGTCGAAAGAAGAAAGAGTTGAAAAAAGCACTGTGATGTAACGAAACAAGAGGTATTTTTCAAAGGCAATAAACATTTCTTTTTGAAAACACGTAGTTTCATGCGTTCAGTGGTTACGGGTTCAGCAACTTGAACAAGACTAAAGATTAGTTTCTTAATAATCACCTGGAAAAATATTACGGTACGTACTTGATGCTATGCGTCGAATGAATATTTTGAAACAGCGATCCTGAAACTCCATAACATTCAAGCGAGTATATTAAGGTAGGTCCTTTTTTATCTATCAGCCTAACTTATTTGTGAGATACACATAAATGCGTACACACAGTTGGAAATAGTATGAAAGTCATACTGGCCGATCTCTGATTATTTTAGGGAGCATGTAGTTTTACAGAAAACGATCATTTTGGGTCCAGGATATCTTAGTTGAAATGGGAGCATCAACACGTTTAAAGTCAAGGTCAACAAGTATTGGGCTATCTGGTGACTGGAGTTATTTTAAGCTTTTTATACCCCGTTTTACTGTATTTATTAACAAATTTTTATGAATACTTCTCGTTTATCGGGACCTTTTAGCATTCATAAGTTTCTATCCTAGTTTGTATTGGTAAATATCTTTTCTTCTCTGTAAAATAGTGTCTTGGTCAGTGTGTTTTGTAACGAACTGAACAAAAGCTACTCCGGTTCAAATATAATACACTCTTTGTCAGTAAATCAAACTTTAAACTGTTTCATTTTGATACTAAAAGATTGGATCTTGTCATCCTTTTTGTGTCCCATAGTAAGCTAGATATTCGTCTCCAGAAAGTTAAGGCTATATGTAGGTTGCATGTTAATTATTACTTACCATAAACTTATCCTTTAAATAATTCAAATAATACATCGATTTATCAATTACTTCCGTAAGCTCGGTCTTTCAAGCTTACTTACAAAACTATATCCCAGGGCCGGACTTACTAAACTTCAGTT